CAGAGGGCCGGGGAGGCACCCATTGAAACATCCGAACAGGGATTAACCACTGAATTAAAGATTTTAAACAGGACTCGAGGATTATGGCTGTTATTCGCAATAATGTTTGATAAAAAAGAAGTTTTTGCCATTTTGGCAGCCTTCTGGAATTTAGACCGGCTCATATGCAGGATGTCAAGGGACACCTGAAGTTGATCTTTTTTCCATCTTCTCTCAGCTCGACGACATTCACGTCTAAGAGCGAGGATGGATTCATTTAGCCAAGGTTGGCGTGAGGTTTTACGGCGTCGAATCTTTACTGGAGCCACAGTATCCAAAATAGAAGTACATATAGAGATGAAAGAGTTGACTACGCCATCAACCGAGAGAGGTGCATTACTGATGTCTTCATAACAAAAAGAATTGGCAAAGGCCGCAGAAAAAAGAGCAACAGCCTCAGAATTAATCGGACGTGATAGGCTCGGTGGACCCTCAGAGTTCAGTTCCATATTGCATGACTGAACATCAAAAATAACTGGGAAATGATCCGAAATCCCAGCATCATTGATGTCTGTGATGCAAATGTCCAGTCCATACGACAATACCAAGTCCAGCATATGGCCTTTAATGTGGGTTGATTTCCTCACCCACTGAGTAATATTAAAAGAGTCAATAAGGGCAAGAAAGTCCTTAGCCAATAGGTCCTCCTCGCAGCATATATGAATATTAAAATCACCACAAATAAGTACACGATCATAACTTAAGAAAATAATTCCTAGAAGATCAGCAAATTCACGGATAAAGTCCTTGTTGCGCTTCGGAGGTCGATACACCACCGCACAGAGGGTCCGGGAGGAACCGGACAACTCCAGTAGTTGTACTTCGAAGCTGGAGTGCAAGGCGGGAGGCAGTTGCCGCACTCGGAATTTACTTCTAAAAACCGAGGCTAGCCCTCCACCCCTGCCCGCAGTCCTAGGAGAATTAAAGAAAGCACAGTCCAGTGGAAGAAGTTCCGAAAAGGAAGAGGACTCACCAGGGCGAATCCAGGTCTCTGTTAGAAACAGGACATCCAGCCTTGATGCAAGAAAAAAGTCGTTTACAACGAAGGACTTGTTCACCAGTGACCTAGTGTTTAGCAGTGCCATACGGAGCGTAGCCTCGTTGACGCTTCTGGGAGCACGTCATTGTCTCATAATTACCATTTAACAATATAAACCTACAGTCCCACACACCAACACAAATCCCCATCGTAAAGAGAACACACATATGATCTTTCTCTTAGTATTTAGGCATGAACACAAAGCAAAGCAGAAAACCAGCACAATGACACAAAGAAATTGATCGCCACTGTGATTCTGCTGTAGAAACATGAACAGGTAGGGTTGGACAATTACTCAGCTTTAACATCACTCCTGGTCTTAGCTAGCTTAGTGTTAGCATACTTGCAAACTGCCAAAGTTGTGTTAACAGCATAATGCAGTTATTTCTGTTCTGAATGCTGTTTGCAGTGTACTATCGTGCAAAAAATACAAGTAATGTACATGTCCTCGCTGCAGACTGTGCCACTGTTTTCCGCCTCTGGCACTCAAACAGAAATCAGCTGATTGTAGTTCACCCGATAAACAGGATGGACAGGCAAGCAGAGGACCAAGTCCAAGGAATTGCAAGGAATACAGGTTCTCGAGTCCCATCCCTGATTATAAATACTAAGCCCATTTTATTTATGTACAGTTATTTATAAATCAGAACCTGTTATTCATTATCTACGCCAACGCAATGTTTGTGTGATCAGAGTAAAGACATGCAAAAAGCCATGCTGCCCATATCTGACTTTTTACTGCACTACAAACTTCTTAAAGTTTGTTTAAAAGAACAAAGTAAAGAAAATAAATATATACGAAATACAATAAGTGAGCCGAGTTGGCAAAGGTTTGCAATCTTGGTGTCCTTGAAGTTTAATTGTGAGTTTGAATAAAAGTTCTTTATTTGTTTATCTATTCAGTTTCAGTTGTGTTTAAGCTGTTTGGTTAGACATAAGATCTTCACTCTTAAGGTGAAACTTAAGATTGTTTGGACTTATAATCTGGGGGAAACTATTCTATTTTGTCCCCTTAGAGTTATTGTCCCTGAGGCCCCTCTGTATATATTCTGCACCTTCTGTAAGCATAAATATGCACAAGTGTCCTTTAACAGTGACTTTGAGCCACTTTCAAGGTTTCTTTATGCCACATGTTCTTTGTAAAGAGAGATGACAGCCATCGGGACTGTGTCACTTCAAAATATTTGCACCATCATAATTACTCCAGTACTACATTTCCTTCTTATGACTGAAATGAATAAATGAGCATCCATTTAATTATGTGAGTGATTACCCTGCCAAATAAAAACAGAATAAAAGTGTTTTTCTAGTCTGAACCCATTCTTACCTTACTAATTAGAAGGTTGGCGGTTCAATTCCTGTCTGCTCCAGTTTGCATGCCAAATATCCTTGGACAAGAGTCTAAGCCCAAGTAAGAATGTGTGTGAATGTTAGGTAGAAAGAGCGTAGAAAAAAGTGCTTATGTGACTGGGTGAATGAGGCAAGTTATTTAAAGTGCTTTGAATGCACAGATAGAGCAGAAAAGTGCTAAATAAGAACCAGTCCATTTACCATTTAATTTTGCTGGTGCTTTAAATGCGTTTAAAGGCAGGTTTAATGTCCCCGGTGAGCCAGTGTCTAAATAATAAAGGTATCTTTGCTCCGAAGTCTGATATTTTTTCTCTTTACATCACAAAGTGAAATAAAACATTCTTATTGATTTCCACAGTGAATTACAGCACTCTGCCACGTGCAGGAATGTGTTTCACAAGTAACTGATCATAGTTACCAAACAAAAACTGCAAACAAAGGTATGGGTGCCAGCAGTTCAGCAGTGAAGAGTCAACAATTTCATATGATATCAGTACATGAAATAATCGCTGAGACATGATAGTCATAATCAGTTTGGATTGGGTGTAACAGGCAAATGACTTGAAAAAGGAAATTCAAAATCAAACTGATAACCTTTTTGAAGCTTGGTATGAATATTATCTGAGCCAAACTGATTGAAATTTGGAACAAAAATCCCCTTCCACACCTTCCTTGTTAGGAGAGAAGCAGGCTTTCTTTTTTCACTGACATGTTTCAGAGCCGAGAGCAGGAAAAAATACTCCGGGTATTTGGAAAAGTCTGACGACTGAACTTTCGGCTCATAGAGATTACATGAACATGAGATGATTAAAAATATTAATAAAAGTATCCACCACTGCAACCATATGTGTAAGTTCAACAGTGTGCTTTAAAGACACCATGATCATTGTTTGTAGGATTTTAAATGACCTCAGCACATAGTTGTGGACAGCTGCAATGACATGCACTTGATTTGACACCTGCCAGTCTGCCACAAAATGCTGAGCCGCATCCTGAGTGCCTCTCACAATCTATTCTCAGACAATCCCCCCACCTCCCACCACCATCATATATTCTCCTCTGCTGTATCACGCCATGACAAGCTGTGTGTCAAGCACTTAAAGCACGGGTCTCAAGTAGGGGCTGTGGAGGGCCTGTGTATTACATTTGTGGACAATAAATTGATATGATCCACAGCATCACGCCTCTTCTGAGCTTACCCTAAAGCCCGTGTTACATTAAGTTGCAGAGCAGCAGAGGCCATTCTCACAAGGTCAACATCAGAGGTGAGGGTAACAATGATGTAGGAGGAAGGAGGAAGCTGGGAAACCTGCTTGGTCAGTTCAGTTTAAATTTGTATTGTTACGTTTGTAAGAGCCCTGGATTGTTATTCATTTTGTAGATTTGTCATTTAATTAAAACCTCCTGTGTCCGCATGTCCAACCAGCTCAGCCCCTCACAGTTATATAGACAACAAGAAAAGGCAAACTTGGAGGAAGAGAAGTTATGATATATCCAGCAGAGCTGTACAAAGCTTGGCTTGGCTGCTGAACTCATGGCTGTTTTCTAACTCAACTTAAAGTTCAGATATTGGTGTAATTGCAGCTTTGGCCTGCTGAAAAGCACATGAGAGAATATCATCTCAATAAATGGGGTAATAACTCCAGAAATATTACTCATTTTAGTATATACTGTTATATTAAAGTGGAAATGACACAGCTGGCTGCCCAGATGTGTGAGTGCTTTTCATAAATAAATGTAAACCCTAGCAATTGAAAGCATAATGTGGGACAGGGCAAGCAGAACAGGGCGAGATTGTGAATTTGGGTCTGAACATACCACGGAGAAAGTGAACATGTCCTTTTCACCTAATAAAATACTTTCTGTTAATAAATGTAACAATTTACCCCTCTGAAATTGGGCTACAGTGACAGAACTGTGTGTCTCTTTGGGGGAACAGCAAGACAGATTTAATGTGACCAAACAGGTAACAGTCCATAACAAATCAACTAAATGTGATATTATCCATAAAGCACCATTCTGCTAGCACTTTTCCTCTGATTTACACATAAAACAGAATCTCTGAGACAACCTTCTGACCCCATTTGCACTTCATCGTCCTGGACATCTCCTCAGAGCACAGTCGCCAAATTGACCTAGAAACCCACCTAAATACCAACCGCCCAATCCCACTGCGATGATTAAATGAGGGTGGTATTCACAGCAGAAACCCAAGTGTCTTGATTCAACTCAATTAGGCCTGCATATGGGGAAGATGTTGTCAGTGTAAATGTCACTGTACAGTTTTCACAGGTAATTACCTCGCTCCACTGTGACAAGGGGCCTATTTGGTGGAAAGTGTTAGAACACACTGGGAAGGGAAGACTAAGTTTCCCCATCTAATTCTAGAACTTTCCATTGCATGCAAAGTCAAGAGATGCAAAAGAGGGATATTTTTATCACACTGCTTTAGCACCAAATTGTTGCCCTCCCACTCGCATGCAGTCGATATTTGTCTGGCTACCAGGATTTGCTTTTAATCGTCAGCTAATTGCTGACAATCGTTGAACTGGTGGTTTATTAATTATTTTTGTGTGTGTACTGTTTGTCTGTGTCTGCTGACATGACACATAAAGCTGCAACAACCAGAAGAGACTCAACGTTATGTTATTGCTGATGCAAACTGATCTATTTGTTCACTCAGCTTTTTTTTATCTGCTTACTGTCGCTTCAACATAAAACTCAGTTTAAATCAAAGTGAAAGGCGACATGCTGTTCCTCGCACAAACGAAAAAAACAACAACTGCATTATCTGTCAGACACGTCACGCGCGTGTTTAGAGATAAGAGTTGAGAGGTTAGTTTAGCATGTGGAGGAAAGGTTGCGCTTGTTTGACTCAGAAGTGGGTCAAGGTTCAGCAGTGCAGGGTGTGCTATCGCCACACAAATGCTACGACTCCTCTCTGCCTGCAGCGGAATATATGGACGCCAGGAGAGAAGATGCCTGACACTCATGTTTTAGCATTTCACTGCTCCTCGTTATTCCTGGCTGAAAATGCAATTCATGGAGTTTTACAGAGCTGGCAGATTGGAGGCGGGTGAGGCCCAGACATCTGTACATTGTGACTTCACACGCAGAGTTTCAACCTTCCGCTCAAACCCAGTGCTGCACGGTGACCTCGTTATAATCTAAAACAGCCCCAAAGTCGGCTGGAAATCTCCCCATTAACGCCGGAGTGATTATTCACCTGATTCATTTAGGGCGGCTCATTGCTTTTGTGCCTGATTTAGAAAGACTGCACAACATTTCCCACTGCGAGAGATGCTTTCTAAATAAAGACAGTGAAATGCTATAACTGGTGGTGATATATTAAAGAGCCGGGGGCTTCTACCTTTCCACTGCTACGGTATTGACTTCATTTACATGCATGCAGACTTGGACGCACCGTTGATTAGTGGAATTGGTTCAGCACCCCGGACAGCGCCGAGCATCGATACCTGCACTGAGGACGTCAGAGCAGATGTGGGCGGGGGTGGTGGTGGGGAACAGCAGCTCCATAAACTTTATTGAGCGGGACTTTTCGTCGAGTCGCGCTCTGAGCAAGAGCGGGTTGGCGTTTCTCTTCGAGGAGCGCCATTATCGCCCGATTGGTCGATGCTGCTGGATGCCCAACGCCGCTCCTTCCACCCACACACCCTCCCGGTCACCGAACGTCAGCTACCGGAGAGCGGGCCACGCGGTGATTTAAACACGGAGAGAGAGAGAAGGTGTTTACGTGAGAGACAGGAGCGTCTCCGGAAAGAGTGCGAGTGCACACTGTAGACATCCACACGGTGGAGCAAAGCCTACAAACTTTATTCCTTTTCTTTCTTTCATTTCTTTTTTAAGATATATTCCTGTTTACGAACACTCCCCTCCCCCTGAACAAAGACAAAGTTTTGACATCCCCACCAAAAAAAGAGCAAAAACAACAACTATTTATCACCCCACTTGTCCGCTTGGCTCTACTTGACGTTTCTTTTTAAAGCAACAAGTGTTGTCGGCTACGGTTCTTTTTCCACACAGGAGGAAAAAAAGAAATACCGATGATATATTAGCTACCGTGGTCACTCGGTGTGGCACCGCAGTGACACCAGGACTGCCATGATCGTGTCCAACGTGAGCCTGAGCGGCTGCGCGGATTTCAACAGCGCTCTGTGTGCCGGAGCCGGGGAAGGGCACCTGGGGGGCGGATCATACCGGACCGCTCTCACCCCGACTGGGAACCTGGTAGTGGCTGTGTGCCTGGGCTTTATCGGCACTTTCGGACTTATTAACAACCTGCTGGTGCTTGTTCTTTTCTGCCGCTACAAGATGCTGCGGTCGCCCATCAACCTGCTCCTGATGAACATTTCCATCAGCGACCTGCTGGTGTGCGTACTGGGGACTCCGTTCAGCTTCGCGGCCAGCACGCAAGGAAGGTGGCTCATAGGGGAACGGGGCTGCGTGTGGTACGGCTTCGCCAACTCGCTCTGTGGTGAGTACAAATGCGGGATCAGTTAGGTGGTGCTATAGGTTTCTGTACTGTATACAGGCTCTATATTCTTTATTTCACACGAGGTCGTGAGTGTTGCTGCGCGGAATGCGTGGATCCTCTCCAGAGCACTGCGCTTTGTAGACTGGATCGTGGTATGCTTTATTCGTACAGACGAAATGATGATTTTGAAAAAGAAAACGTAAAAATGTCCAACTGTCTCTCGTGCACTGAGTCATGTGTGAAGCCATATCAAACTTTCACAGAAAAGCTTAAAAATCTTCGGACTCCTAATGAATTAAATCTGGAGATAATGAGCAATGCTCGTGTGCCACTCTGGAGACAATAAGAGCCTTATTATTACAGCTGTTTGTTCGTTCTGCATGACTCGTCGCTGCTGGAACAAGGCATTTTGTTTATTGCAAGCTTTCTCTCGTTCGTTTCGTACATTTTGGGTGGGATCATCCTGCAGTCTCCTACGCCATTAAGGTCTTTCATTAAGGTATCGCTTAAAGTGGAGGTTATCTTATTACGTTTTATTGTTTTAAAAAACAAACAAACAAACAAATAAAAAACTCATTCTGCACGAGTCAACTGGTTCATGAGTCCAATCCGTGATTCGAGTTGCACATCTCCTCTCATAATCCCGATGAAGCTTTCACATAAAGATGCGCAGGTTTGGTCCAGGTGCGGTACTGGTCATTATATCTGTGGATGTGGTCTGGATGGAGCTCCGTGACAGACCGTACCGTACCGGTCCCTTCTGCAGCTGTGTGGATCATTATGACATTCTCCTTGTCATAAGACAGCTCCACGGTTTCACGAAAGTAATTTAGTCATTTAGAAATCGTTTGTTCGAATTCCATTATGAACTCTGCAGCATGTCACAGTACTGTCAGCTGGTGATTTTTTGTGTGCAACCTGCTATTAAATGGCCGCTAAATGCTTATTACCGTTTAGTTGAGAGGCTGTACCTGAGGCGAATCAAACCTCCTCACTGTGCACTGTTCATTTAGCTGCTCCTGCAGGTCTGTAGCGGGCTGTGGCGACGCTGTCTGCCTCCATGGCAGGTACATCTGCAGCATTTGTTGCAGAATAAAACATTTCCAAGGGGGAAAGCTGTGTAATGAGAAAACGGGATGCTGCTATACCTTTGCTCAGCAGTGCTGACATAAATAAATTGGGTATAATGATGCACACAATAGAGAATAATGCTGGTATGCACTTGCTTGATACTGGGCCAGACTGGATTGCGGAATTAAAGTAGAGCGATCAGACCAGGTGTGCTCTATACCAGCAGCAAACAAGGAGTTTCAATTAGCATTAAACACAGACTTACATTAATTGTCCTCTAAGAGTTGTATTAATTAAAACCGTCAGTGCACACATCCGAGTCACTTGGATGAAGTTCTATTTAATGCAAGCCTTATTTCTGTATAAAAGATGAAAATGTTCTTCTGTCAGCAGGAGTCCTTGGCCCAGTGCCTGATTTAAAGTGTTTAATGAACAGAGTCACAGACACTGAAAGGCAGGATGTCCCATCTTGAATCTTTATCACTGCTGTATATTATACCAGTTCCCTCTTGCTTTTAAATCAGTTCATATTTTAGTTGCTTGACAGGTAACAAGTTGAAAAAGAAGAATTCCTAAAGTTCACTTTTCAGTTGAATCAAAACACACAAGTCACCTTTGGGAAGACTTAAAAAAACATTAGATGAAAACCTGAAAAACTTTGAGCTTTTCAGTTACAGAGACCACAAATTCTTTGTGCAGCTGCGAACGGACCGAGTGTTCATGCTGGATGTCTGCGGTCAGCGGTGGCAGCCTTTCACTGATGAAGTTTGCAAGGGCTGATAAATCTTTTCTAAAACTTCTCTCACTCACTTCAACACATCTAATCTTCTGATGTTTAAAGGCCTGCTTTAAGCTGAGAAATGACCACTGGAGCCAAACATTAGGTCCTCTGATACCTGCTGCAACTAAAGATTTCGGGCGTTTGATCTTATCTCGAATAGGATTACAGCTTGTTAGCCACCTATGTGAGAGTCCAGTTGCTGTGAAGCAAAAATCCCTCAGAGACAAAAGTCTGATTTCTACTTGAGAAACATTTGTGTTACATAATTTCCCATCCTTACTTTATGGTCATTCTGTGGCTCTGAGGTCGTCACGCTTCTTTGTGGTCACTTTGTGCATTATGTGAGCACCGAAACCTTCCTATCCAGGCGACAAAGGAAGAAGCTAAACACGGAGCAAACAAGTCCAGCAGGGGTTTTAATCCCCTGCTTTTATCAGCTCTTTCACACCTTGATCTCTGGCTAACATTTACACACAGTGCACACTAACTAAATTGCATTTTACTTTCCACAAGAGCCTTGTGAATCTGTCAACCTTTTAAATTCAAAACAGGCTCTCGACTGGTACACTCGCTTCCTCTGGGATAAGTTGGCAATTTCCAAAACTTCATTTCTGTCTTATCATGGTGCAAAAAAGGCAAACTTCCAATCATTTTACAGTATCTGAGCGAGCTTTGATCGCATCCACCGTCTCGCTAACTCGAGTGTTAGACCAAGATTAAGCACCATGTGAAAATATGTAACACTGACCTCCACAAAGAGCCAATTTATTAAACATCTGACAAAAAAACCTGGGCTTCTACAAACTTAAATATTGTAGGGAGACAGTGTGTGTGTGTGAGGGAGAGAGAGAGAGAGAGAGAGAAATATCTCACAGACATCATTAGAGCCTCCACTGGTTATGGATGAGTAATTCCTCAATGGCCTCATAAAACCAGAATGAAAGAGTGAGGGAGGGCCAGAGAAAGGAAAAGTGAAATTGATTGTTTGGGTGAATTATGCCGGGTGCCGCTTTGACAAAGCGACAGTCTCTGTATTCGTCGAATCTCCGCGAAGCTTTTCTGAGTGATCGATGTTCCTTCAAATTAGAGGGCATCACTGTCAGTGACAGAAGACATTGTTAGCGTGGCGTTAGCACGTCGTATTCCTGCTCTCTCTTCACATCGATTTCTTCTTTCTGCTCACAGTCTTAGATGTTTGAATGACTGAACAATTGAAGATGTATTGCATTGACTTTTGTGCCAAGAGCACCCATTGAACACAATTTGTGGAGACGCAGGCATGTGCATGTGTGTGTGTCTTTATCTGGACCTCCTCACCCACTGCCATCAGCCTCCTGGCATCCATTTAGCTGCTTCACCTCTTCTACCCGCCTCTTTGCATTTTCTTCTCTGTCTCGCTGAACTTTTAGTGTCTTCCATTATACTGAAGATGAACAGGACAGGATCTTTTTTTTTTCTGTCTCTGACAGCTCCTCTATGTCTTCCTGCATGCCTCCTTCTTCAAGCAGGCTCTGCACACAGTCGCTGGATTAACCTTGCACTGCTGGGGGCCACTCACCACATATTGGAGTCAGATTGCTTTCCGCATACACTCACTCGCTGACCTGCGCACAGCAGCATCACCGAAATAGGCGGGCAAACTGATGAGCGTGCACGTGGGGGGAAAGGAAAATGCATGAATATGTGCATCATGTTGGTGCGCACAACTTTTGGCCTGAGTGATGTTAATTTGTCAGGACGCTACGCAGAATTCTCAGTAGGGAGAAAGAAAGCAGAACAATGCTGCCCTGCTGTAAAGGTCATAGCAAGCAAGCCGACTAATGAGGCACGGTAATAAATACTGAATTAAAGGTCTTGCATAGCAGAGACCCAAAAATATGTTTAGGACGTGATGTGTGTCTGGTGTTCAGCATTCATTAGTGTGAATGATCATGTCCGTATGCTCTGACTTCTTATCCAAAGCGGGGAAAATCGAATAAGAGGTCCACACGTTTGATGTCTCTTAGTAGACTCGGTGCGTATCGCGCTGGTTTCGCGGGATCTTCTGAATAAACAAAGCTTTACTCAATCCTGTGTTTTTCATTCAAACTGTCTTTTCCTGGATATACGGTATCAAAGGAGTGATGCAGAAGCAGATGCTTTCTAACAGAAAAGCAAGACAGAAGTAGCGAGTGAATGTCACACAGGCAGGAGAACAAAGACTATTCCTTTATACATATAAAAAATATATATATATAAATATATATAATAATAATAATTATATATATATATTATATATATATATATATATCTATAATAATATATATATATATATATATTATATACTATATATTCTCAGATGTATATACAAAATCATATATATGTTTCATTTTGGATATTACATCAGCTGATACATTTGATCTAGCCAGCATAAAAGATTGATGCAGTGATTGTTTTGATTTTCAAGATGCTATCAAAGTTATATCCAAAGATGTGCGGGTGTCTTTCATGATGATATTACATGGCCTCTAATAATGGATTTATTCATACAAAGAACCTTGCAAAGCAGAGACAGTGTTGTACTCATCGGGTAGGTGAAAGTTGTAGGGGATCTGCTGCTATAATCTAGTTTTCCCATTAAAAGCAATGAATTAAATCAACTACAACAGTTTCCATGAGCCTGAGACCAGAAGACTTCAGCAACATGATGCCAGTATTCAATTTTGGGTTAATTTTGAGCCGTGGAAGAGATTTGCTAATTAGTTTTTAGTAAATGTGAATTTTGATTTATTGTGACACTTCTTAAAAACTGCTTAAGGGATATTGGAGAAATTTATATTCAGCTGTTGTCTGGAAGATATACAATATGCACATGCTCACCAACCTGACCCGAGACTCATGACCACAGCCAATAAAGTATGTTGTTTAAGATGAAATGCTCTTCTCTTCAGCAGTATATTATTTTCCTCATGCTATTAGGGATGCATCAGTACTGTATCTGGATCAGGTTACAGTTATACTTCAGTCAATGAGCTCGTCAATAGCTTCAATGCTAAACATGTTAAATGTAATGGACACTATTGCTCCCATTAAGGTGAAGGTTATCTCTGGAAGGAAAAAGTCTCCATGGAGAAACTCCACACTGGTGAAAAATGAAAAAAGAGAGTGT